CAGCCAGCCCTGCCCCTGCCACTGCCCAGGGCATAGACCTGTACTTATGCATCTGTTCCCCAACCTCTGTTATAAAGAGCTGAGAAAAAAAGCTCAAAATCAGTTAGTTCACTATTGCTGACAAACCTTTGGGTACTTTGGATTTTGTGGGTGCAGGCTCCTTATCTTGAGAAATAAGTTCCATTTCCTTGTTTTTATCTGTTAATGTCTCAGTTGGTTGCAAAGGTGTGAGAGTTCCTTCCTTTTTCTCAGCTTCTCTTTTTTCCAGTTGTTCTCCTTTAAAATAATTTCAACAAAAAATTAATTAGATAAAAGCAGCATTAGGATAATGTTATTAATTTTGAGCTGTAATTCACAGCAAGGATTTTTAGGATTATTCACTGTTACACCATATATTTGTGCAAACAACAAGTACTTTTGGTTTTATTTAATGTATTTAACTGAATTCTCTTTAATAGGAAATGATCCTGAAAATGCTTGAATCTATTTAGGTTCATAGAAACTACATAATTGTGAGGACTTGTCAAAATAATTTTCTTTTAAATAAAACATTACTGGGCAATGTTTTTTCAGTTATGCCACTGTAGCACCAGATTGAGCTCATGTAACTTCATCCTAATTTATACCTATGTATCTAGGGAGAGACTTTGGCACAGGTTTATACAACGTTTACTTAAATGCTCACAAAAGAGCCAAATAAAATTAGCAAAAATGTCCAATTTGCGTAACAGCATTGAAATTGATATTTCTAATTATCAATTTCTAAAGCCTGGTTTTGATCCAACATTGACAACATTTTGATCTAACCTATTTCTACAAATGAATATAGGTTTTTGTTGATAAATTGACAACATTCTAACTAATGGGGAAAAAATTCTTTGCATCTGCAGTGTAATACTGTTCTTTGCCAACAGGCTAATGATTAATTAAAAATATGTTTAAGTATATAAAAGTCTGCCAGAAGAATAAGAAAGGTCACTATTCAACAAATATAAATATTTTTCACTTTCATGTACTTTTAATGTCACCAGCAATAAACTTTTTTAGCACATACCTCACTTAATTATACAAAACCCATGTATATTCATATTAAAATCTCAATATGAAAAATAGAAATTAAATACCTTACTTTTATTTTGTTTTTTGAAAATTTCTTCCAATATGATTTCCTTTACTCTTCTGTACAAAAGAGTCTCTTCTATCTCTGCATTTACTTTCACTAGAATATTTTGCTGCACTGAAAACCATTTCTCCAGTTTGGGCCAGCTCTCTCGAAAGCCTGCAATTCTGTGAAATTATATCATTATGGTATGTTTAAATTTGTAAGTCTAAAATAAACATATTAAATCAAACATTAGAAAATGTAAAATATATACAACTTTTTTTATTTATTTATTTTTGCAACCGTCTAGGGAGTCTAATAAAAGATATCACCTCCCCAAGAGTTCTCAATATTTTATTTATAAATTTTTGAAATATTATTAATGAATATTATAGGACTTCTATATATTGATATATGAATATTTTATATATGAATACTATTTTTATATACAAAACAGTACATTTTAGGAAATGTGGCCAAAACAAAATTAAGAGACAATATTCAGTTATGTTTGACACAACATTCTAATATCTTACCACATCATTGAAGGAAATGTAAATAAAGAAAATAATAAAATAGGAGCATTTTCTCTACATGCTTGAAAAAAAGAAATTCTTTTAAGACTTCAACAAGCTGCATATATAAATTACTATCTTTTGGAATTATACTATATGAAGAAATGAGGGTACTGATTCAGGTCTAGGATCAGCAAAAATCTTGAATATATCCTTAACTTTAAGCACATGAATACTGCAACGTGAAGTATAATCTGACTTCCAATGTGTTTAAAATATCACAAAATGCCCAAATACTCAGATATTAGAGTTTATTATTATTGTATTTAATAAAACTAACCTATATTGCATCTGGTGCCTGATTAAATCGATCTTCTCTCTTTCTTTGAGTTCAGTATCAGAAGCTTGATCACTATCTTCCTGCTGGTCTTGAGTTGACTCTAATTAATTTGTTACATGGAAACATATTAGAGTTCCTTTTTTAATGGATTCTCTATGAGCTAGTTCTGGGTTCCTATTAAAAACTTTATCAAAATGAAAACACTGCTTTATTTAAAATACTCATATATATTCTGAAAATAAAAAGATAGTAGGTAGTACAGGAGATTAACAGGAAATATATTCTCTTCATATTCTTGAAATTTTAGCATGAATTGTCAATTTTTTAAAATGTTTTAGTATCATGATGCTTTCAAATTAATTAGACTTCAAGTATTAAATTCCTTGGGCTTGTCTTTACTGTTATTTGTGTTTTGTCCCTATCCTGAACCTTGTCAAAATATAAACATACCTAAGTTCACATCTGGGAATACTGGTTGACGCTTGAGTAATGCTGAAACTGGAATTAGTAAATTCCAACAACTCTGTAATTGACTCTGTTCAATCACTCAGTGCCGTTAATGAAAGTACTCTGTATAGCTCACATGGTTTGCAATGTGGTCCCTCTTACCTGAGCTAAACTAGCCAAGTGGAGAGTAACTCAAATGCATTAAATTGTGCTAACCTTTCAAGTAAAAGCAAAGCCCTCCCTTGTGCCATTTTGAAAGTTTAAGGCACAATCTCCTTACAGATTGGCAAACATAAGATCTCTTCATGAAAGTATATCGTCATGTGTCCAGACAGGGTTAATGAGAGGGTAGAGTCTGAGGGGGGAGTTAGAGCTGGCCATTCCTGAGCTTCCTTAAGCTTATGTTGGATCCTAGCTCAGTACTACAAAAAGTTTTGTTACTACAAACTGTTTTGTCCATTTTGGTCAAAAACAGGTAATTAAAGAAACAGCCAAGGATGTAATGAAAGCAGGAGTAGTGCTGATGCTTAGTGAGATGAGTACTGTCCTGCCCATCCCTCCATACCATTCTCAGTGCATTATGCAACCCTTGAGAATGAAGTTTTCTACCTATGCATAATTAACTGCTCATATTTCTGCATCTCCTCTATCTTACGTTTCTTCTGCTTGGTACTTCATTAAATTATACAAGATATGGCACAACATTGGGTGTTAATACTGTGTAAGATTATCACACACACATACTTTCAGCTGCAGGCAGATGTAAACAGAAAAAACTATAATATTTTGAAAGTATCTGCAATAGTATGATGCCAACTTTATGCATGAGATCTTGTGAGATTAAAAGAAAATTGCAATGATGGTACTTTGCTTCATTGTGTGGAGCTGAATGGTCAAATCTAGTAAATATTGGTAAAGCTTGAGATAACATTTATGATTAAAGAGTTACTTAGACTTGGTTATGCACTGTAGCAAAGTGCAGGGTGTGCGAAAGGATCTTAGCAAAATATTAAAATTCAGCTGAAAGCCCTTTCCTTGTCTTAACAGATGAAAAGCAAAGCTAAGGATGAATCTGAACAAACAGTTCCTAATCATCATTATCATTTAAAGTATAAGTACGACTAAATAATATAAGTTCTTGCTATCTGTGACATACAATATGTATAAGAAATTTAGGATTCATTCTCAAAACTCCTGGCAAATACGTCACGTGATCCTTGGTAGCATAAATGTAGAGCAACCTTGATCAATATAGTTGTCTCAGCATCATAACTAGTTTTTATTTCCTATTATATTAGGATGTGGATGTCACAGAGGTTTCATAAATGCATTCAATGAAATGTAACTTACTCTTGGAGTCAGCCATGCGCTTTAGTACTGTGATATCTGAAACATCTAGTAACAAAGCAAAATCAAATGCAGGTAGAGGTAAAGGTGGATCCCTGGGAGCTGTTGGGTCTGTAACCAGTAAAGGCTTTCTAGAATGTTCATCCTTTACTTGTACGTCATCTGGATCACAGCCTGTAAGTGCTTTTTCAAGTAATTTTGCCTGATTTATTGTCATTGGAAACCCATCCATGATCCATCCTCTCTTCTGTGGTGTTTGTCTAATGAACAATAAAATACAATAAATACCTAGTGAAATTATTTTAATTTAATAAGGTAATACCACAGGATCTTTGCATACATTATTAAAATAAACACTTCAAAGAAAAAAGATGGTTAAATAGAAAAACATTAAAGAAGACTAAAATCAAACCAAACTCCAAAATATTTCAGTTTTCTACATAAGGTCAGAAAAACTGACCTTTATGCTATGAGATGAAATGTTGTAGCATCAGTTTTCTCTTCTCTGCTGACATACAGGCCCCCTCTACAAGTACACATAAAAGGTGCAATGGGATCTAACGAGCAATCCACACAATTGTGCCTCCTGCTACAGCCCATGTAGGCCAGCAGCTGGGAGATGCCACTGGTGTCATCTCCCAGTCCCGAGGGTGCGTGGAGCCCCAGGGGCTGGGAGAGTGTGGCTGTTGCCATCTCCAGGCCTTGGGAGTATGTGAAACCTGGGCACATTGCCAGGACCCAGCACCTGCAACAGGCTGAAAATGCAGCTGCTGAGGCTGAGAATCCCCTTAGTTGGAGGACTCCCAGTCCAGGCTAGGCAAGGTGCACTCCTGCAGCTGGAAGCCCCATCAGCTGACGGAGCTCCCAGCCACAGGGGAAACCCTGCTGCACATGCAAATTAAAACTCAGTTGCAACCAGCTATGAAGTTAGTATGTATTTTCAAGGTCTAACTTTATACTTGGCTGGAGCTCATTACCGTATGGAAAGTACTTTGCATGTGTGGTTTTAAGATAACTGTGAAATTACCAGTTAATTGCATGATACCTGTAATGTATGGAGGGGGCCTTACAGTTAGTAAATAACAGATTTTTATTACAGAATCTTGATGTAATAGCAGGAGGTACATTTTTGAGTGACTGCCCATTAGGAAACTAAAATGCAGTGCCATGAGTAGAATTCAAAAACATGACTGCTTTACTTCAAGAAAACTGATGATATAATAGGAAATAGGGCTATAAAACCTTAGATGCTGCATTATACATACACACTTTCTCTCAGAAAAAAAATTAAAAGAAAAGCATTACGAAATACTGTACAATTTTATTCTGGCTAAACAGGTATATTTAGCTTTATTAATTGTTGATGAGTTAGGGGTCCCCCCCAACCATTACTGTATTTGATTTTGCTACATTTAAGGGTGGCAATTAAATGGAGTCAGCTATTAATATCCATGAGTCAAAATGGCAAAGTCTGGCCCTAAGAAAAAAGCATACAACAACATTTTGCATAATAATATTGAAACATAGTAAGAGTATAAGGTTTGCCATTCAGGGTCAGATGAACAGTCCATCTAACCCAGTATCTTATCTCTGACAGCGACAAGCAGCAGATACTTTAGAGGAAGAGTATAAAAAGCAAACTACTGTAGCTCGTACTTAACAGCTTCCACCATGATGTTAACTAGCAATTCATCAGGAATATTTTTTCCTTTCTTCAAAAATTTCTCTGATGCTGCACCAAGTTGGGCATATATGGATAGCTGTGGAAAAGAGTAGTCAAAAAGACGTAGTGTTAATATGTTCAGGAATTCAAAGTACAAACTAAAATATTTGTTAAATTATTTAATGAAGTGCAAGAGCTTGGTGAAATGTGGTCTAGCTTCACTGAAGTAACCAGCTCAGGCCCTTGAACATGACTAGGGACTTATTCAAATTGCAAATTTGCGGAAATTACAAAATCAGGTGATCTTCATGAAATCCATGGAAAAGTAAAAACAAAACAAAAAAAAAACCTGACTAAAAATAAAATGCTGGCTCCCCAGCAGGGATTTATACAAGCACAGGTTCAGAATCAAGCATGAGAGTTTACAGCAATACTTAGTTTGATTGATGTCATCAGAGTACTGAAGCCTACATTTCTCAGGAGCTTCCCATTTCCTTAATATACTGGAGGCAAGGGAGTATACATAGAGTAAGCGTAGGTTAGCTTTAGCATTACCAGGATAAGAGTCAATTCTGGCAAAGTTTTGATATAGCAATCTGCAGCCTTGTAAATGTAAGAGATGGTGGATGGAAGATATATTTCTGGACAACCAATGACAAAGAACTCAATAACACAAAGATTAAAAAAAAATCCAAATAAATGTTGTGACTTTGTACAATACTATTAGTGTTCATATTTTATATAGAAAAAAGATTACTGAAATATGGCTGACAGTGTAAAAAGAGGAAAAG